TCGAACCCGCCACCTTAGGTGTATGTGGCTGGCGCCTTAGCCGGTTGAGCTATAGGTGCCGAGCCAGATGCAATTTTTTGATAACTTATCTTCTATTCCACTTTGCTTCCTTCACATGTGCCCACCTCCTCAAAAACTCCCACAGCTGGGCAGTGCCTGTGACTCAACTGGTAGGGTGCCGGCCCCATATAGGATGGCATGTTTGAGCCTGGCCCCAGCCAACACTACAACAAAAAAATAGCCAGGAGTTGTGGCGGGCACCTATAGTCCCAGCTACTCGGAGGCTGAGACAGGAGAATCTCCTATGCCCAGGAACTGGAGGTTGCTGTGAGCTGTGATGCCACAACACTCTATGGAGGGCAATAAAGTGAGACTCTGTCTCAAAAAACAAAACAACTCCCCACAGCTGTGCTCTATCAGTTCTGTTTTTCAAGTAGATAACAACTAGAGTCTAGAGTAGACCACAGTGCTGAAAGATAGGAACAAGTTAGCTGATGGTATTTAAAGATGTGCCTCCCCTCCCCCTACAATGCTATGGCGGGGAGGGGGGTTAAGGATTCGGAAGTTATGGTCCTTTTATGAAAGGTCCCTGAGGTATTGACGGGTTGGGGTTGGCACCTCAGATTGGACTAGTTCCTATGAAGACAGCTCTGTCACCCGCAATGGAGCAACAAATGAGGACTTAGCATCAAGCCCTCTTCTGCAAAGATACTATTATAACACAATGTTATTTATAATCATATTTCTCTCTCTCCCCTGCAGATGCGCAAACTCCTGACAAGCGCTCTGCTCATTATCTCTTATTAGCAGGCACTAGCTAATAAGAAAGGGCTCACCTTTCCAAGCCCAGCATGACGCACATTATTTCCATGACTGCTTTTCCTTCTCATGACCATATTGAGAGAGACGTATTACATTCCCCTTTTTCAGATGAAGGAACTGAGATTGCAGAAGTTGTTTCAAATCATAAAACTAGTAAGTAGCAGGGCAAACAATCAGGTGGGGCCCAATCGTAACACACACACGCTGCCCTCCATGCTCATCACCGTTCCCCAACAGCTGCCATGCGCGGAGCAGACACTCAACAAGTATCAGCTGCGTATTTAATGCTGAGTCATACATACCTGTCTTTGATTATGCTGAAGTAAAAGTTAGAGAGTTCTCTGGTGTAAAATGCTCGTAATAGCCGGACAACTTTTCCAAAATCGTATCGTCTGTATGACTCTGTGACCTAGGGAACAAAGCCAGATGAATTTGGAAGCCACGACAGGCAGATGAAAATGCAAGTCGTCCTGAGGAAAACATGTTCCTTTCAAAAACATCTTTCAAGGGAAGTAATACACAAGAATTCATGAGAATCCTCCAAATGCTATTTCTGGATAACAAATTCGACTACACTCAGAAAATAATTGACTAGTC